AGGGGGGGCCTTAGGGGGGGCCTCAGGGGGGGCCTTAGGGGGGGCCTTAGGGGGGGCCTCAGGGCTGTCAATAGGGCCACAGGCTCGGGCATTGGCCGGCGCCGGGGCTCGCTTGGCGGGCCTTCCCGCAAAGCAAGCAAAGCTTCAGGGCAGAAGACACGAGGGCCCTTCCGGGCTGGCCCAAGGGGGGGCCTTGGCAGGGCGAGGGGGGGCCCCCGGGGCGGCCTCCGGGGGGCCACAGGGCTTCTGTTCGGGGGGGCTTTGCGGGGGGCCCCAGGCTCGGGCATGTCCCGGCGCCGGGGCTCGCTTGGCAGCCCTTCAAGCAAAGCAAGCAAAGCTTCAGGGCAGAAGGCCCGAGGGAGCGAGGGCCAAAGGGGGGGCCTTAGGGGGGGCCTTAGGGGGGGCCTCAGGGGGGGCCTTAGGGGGGGGCCCATGCGGGAGGCCTCAAGGCTGTCATCAATAGGGCCGCAGGCTCGGGCATTTGCCGGCGCGCGCCGGGGCTCGCTCGGCGGGCCGGGCCTTCACGCAAAGCACACAAAGCTTCCGGGCAGAAGACACGAGGGCCCTCCCGGGCTGACCACAGGGGGGGCCTTCGGGGGGGGGCCCCCGGGGCGGCCTCAGGGGGGGCCCAGGGCTTCTGTTCGGGGGGGCTTTGCGGGGGGCCTCCGGCTCGGGCATGTGAGTGCCGGCGCCGGGGCTCGCTTGGCAGGCCTTCAAGCAAAGCAAGCAAAACCTCAGGGCAGAAGGCCCGAGGGAGCGAGGGCCCTTCCGGGCTGGCCAAAGGGGGGGCCTTAGGGGGGGCCATTGGGGGGGGCCGTAGGGGGGGCCGCAGGGATGCCTCAGGGCTGTCAATGAATAGGGCCACAGGCTCGGGCATTGGCCGGCGCCGGGGCTCGCCTGGCGGGCCTTCACGCAAAGCAAGCAAAGCTTCAGGGCAGAAGACAGGAGGGCCCCTCCGGGCTGGCCAAAGGGGGGGGCCTCAGGGGGGGCCTCTGCCGGGGGGGGGCCTCCGGGGCGGCCTCCGGGGGGCCTCAGGGCTCCTGTTCCTTCGGGGGGGCCTTGCGGGGGGCCTCAGGCTCGGGCATTTGCCGGCGCCGGGGCTCGCATAGCGGGCCTTCAAGCAAAGCAAGCAAACCGCCAGGGCAGAACGCCCGAGGGAGCGAGGGCCCTTCCGGGCTGGCCAAAGGGGGGGTCTTAGAGGGGCCTCAGGAAGGGTCTCGAATCCCGTTCGGCTTTTCGGTAGAAACCGAAAAGCATTCCGAAGAGCCTTGCCGGCGCCTTCGACTGCGCAGCGCATAGCATTGTCCAGGAGGGCTACAGGGCATGCGTGTCATGCATTCCGAAGCGGCCCCGCCGGTAATTAAAATCAAAGGACAAAGCCGGGGCGGTAGCCAAAATATGAAGCCAAAGCCAAGGACTCACTTCGTGACTTTGTTTATTGTGTCCAAAGCCAAAGCGGCCCCGCCCGCAATCAGAATGAGAACCGGCGGACCAGCCAAGGTAGACAGCGCGTGGCGCCGCCCGGGATTGTTCGGTCGCTGCCTGCGTCAAAGAAATGGTCGGCGATGATCTGCCTGGCTTTATGTTCTGTGCCAGACGTCTGCGAACGCTCGCGAAAAAAAGAGGGGGCCTAAGGGGGGGACCCAACCCACCCCCCTTGGGCAAAAGGGGGGGCCTTAGGGGGGGCCTCAGGGGGGGCCTTAGGGGGGGCCTTTTTTGGCTCTGGGCGTCTGCGAACACGAAAAAAAGGGGGGGCCTAAGGGGGGGCCTAACCCCCCCCCTTTGGGCAAAAGGGGGGGCCCCAGGGGGGGCCTCAGGGGGGGCCTTAGGGGGGGCCTTTTTTGGCCTGAGGGGGGGCCTGAGGGGGGGCCTCAGGGGGGGCCTTAGGGGTCGAGGGGGGGCCTAAGGGGGGGCCTTAGGGGGGGCCTGAGGCCCAGAATAGCGCTAATGATCATTATTAGTCTTGTAACTTGTAATTGTAGCTATCAGCATGAATATATGTTTATATATGTTGTGACCTGTCGGGAGTAAATTTCTTTTGATGGCCTATTGTTATTTCCGAGATCATGTACCACTCCGTGAATGGGCATCAAGGCTTAGATGAGAAAACTGTAGTAGATCCTTTTTCGAGGTAAGACAAAAAAAACCTTTAGTACTAAAATGCACGACCCAAGTTGTTTCGAAATTTCTGGTGCACGACTCAAGTTTTGTTAAAAGAAACTTTGTCAAAGGAAGTAGTCCAGCAGGCGCCCAGAGTTCTGCATGGACCGAAGGCCGTTCTGCGTGCGCTAGAGCTTTGAGGCGACGCGCAAGCCGCGTGGTGCTCTTCCACTGATCATCCAAGTTTTACTTTTTATCATTACCGGGAAAAAATAAATATCATCACATTAGGTATCTGCAAATAATAAAACGAACTCCCTGTAGTTGAAACATTTGCGCCTTGGCGTCGTTACATACTGTCTCGTGGTTGCCCGACTCCGTTATTTACAGTAGACTAGAATACTAAACGTTTGCAGCTGAGTCTAGATCTATGGCCCGCCTTTCTGCATTCGCCACTACAAGTAACTCCACCAATGTAGGAAACAAATGTCGTGCCCTGGTTGCACGGGCACGCATTTCAGTCCGCTTGTCACCAGCAGGGGCGATACAAGTTGAAGCACACGAGCAAGAAGATTCGAATACTACATCGAGTTGAAAACCCTTGAAAAAAGCCAAAAAAAAACTTTCCGGAAGTGACTCCAAACAAATTGCACGACGCTGCAGTTTGAATTTTGTTCCCGCCTCCCATAGCGCCTAGCTAGGAAATTTTGTTTCTCTCCTGTTGCTATCGGTTTCGTTGAGTGATGGGATAATGCTGCTTGGACTTGGACAGCAAAAACAGTCTCGAGCCGTCATTCCAAAGCACAGCCACAGCCGTCATATTATTTACGTGAACAGGTTTGAATCGTACAGCCCGAATTTGTATTTTTATCACCACAGAAAGTCACTGAAGCCTAAACATCCCGGCGGGCGCGGGATGATATCGTGCCAGGTCGTCATAGAGTTTGTGACGCCGGTGGAGCAATACAATTTTTGTCTTAGAAGAAGAACTCCAGTTCATCTCTTCTCGTGCCGGTGTTCGGATGTGCGTTTCTCGTTCATGGTGTTGTAAGTATAGATAGCAATCACTGTCGTGTATAAATATAAAAGACTAGTGCGTGCTCCTGATCTGCGGCGCAAGAGGTAGTTGATTGAATGCGAGGGCCGACGCTGCAGTTGTTCGGTTTGCAACCGTCGAATGTGCTGAGACGCAGACAAGAAGGAGACCACTCTGAGAGAGCGAGCGAAGCCAGAGCAGTGATGCTACCGAAAAACTTCGACGAGCTAACTTTGACAACTGCGTTGTTGTACATTTGTCTTCGCTAGTATGATTTCTTCTGTCGTACTCGTGCCTGCGCGTACTCAGATGAAGGATAGTATTAAATGCATCATTTACAATATAGAAAAACCGACTCGACGCATTATTTGTTCGTTGAAAATTATACTTACAAGCTCAGCCGCGGAATAGTAAATTGGTTCAGAGGTAGAAAGAGAAGAACCGCAATTCCAAAGAAAATAGCCATGTCCCTGAACGAAACGGCCTACCACAACAGGCCACGGGGCGCGAAGGAAATCGACGGGTGGACCTTCATATGCATTGCAAATATGTCTGGGTCTGGAAGAGTGGGAGGCTTGTCATGCATATTTTCCATGCCCCATGAGGCCTGCGTCTGGCATGCAGGACCTAGCATGACAGATTCTGCGAAGTCTCTATCATGCCTATCCTGCATGAGAAACTCCCGCTCATGTTGGTCAAAAAAGGACAACTTTTCACGATCACGCAACACAGATTTTTGTCTGACCCACAGGACGCATCACAAGTTCCATCTTCCCAGACCCAGACACTTTTGCATTTGATATTTTAACAGAACGCAGCACACAGCACCGCAGTACGGCTTCAACAAAGCAGGGAACGTGAAGGACACTTCGAAGCTATGCAGTACAACTTTATTGTTTCTTTTCACGATTGTTTTTTTTGTGATGCATAGTCCGCCACGAGACGGTAACTTTGTCATGCAGATTGAGATGCAAAACCAATAAATCCAGGTCGTTTGAACAACAACCGCGCTGCCTGGAAGCCAGTTATCCTAGAGAAATAAAGTAGATCCATACCAGAAGAGAAATACATTTGTGTTGCTAAATTTGCTTCAGTGCAAACTCTGTATAATGCGGAGACCAAAAGAGGTCGTGCAGGTTTTGTTTGTCTTTTCTGTCATGAGGGGCGAAGTTTGTGGTCATGTGTCGGATCGAGTACTAAAGGGGTGCAGCCAAAGAATATCGTTTGTCATGCTGAACAGCCAAAAAAAGGTATTTTGTGACGCCCGAATAAAATGCAACACAAGTTTATATATTGTTTTTCTGATTATGTAGGTCTTGTACTTTTTTCTAAGATACCAGTCCACGCCTACCGAGACACCTACATTTATGGAAGCGTCAGGATCGAAATCAACAAAATCGAAATAATTTGTGATGCATAAAATCGATACCAGTTGGAGCCGCAGTTTCCGAGTGGCGCATGACAAACGTCGGGAGCACCAAAATCCAGTCTGTCATGCTGTTTGGGCAAGTAAGACTGCGCCTGTCATGCTACTCTGGCAGCACATCGTCTTCCCCTACACAGGCTTGCAATCGGTCTCATTTGCCTGCTCCCCAACACAGGCCAGCAGTGCCCTGCGTTTTATGCATTGCAAATTTGTTGATTTTGTAGGTTTCGATCCTGACACTCCCATAACATTGATCTCCAGATCCGGAGTTCCACCTGGGTCCCCGGCGTATCATGTTGAAAAATACCGCCACCCCAGAATCAGGATGTGTTTGTATTGCAAAGCTCCCAATGGAAGCATTTGCCACGGTGCATGTTTCAGCATTACAAGTTTTTCAGCCAGAGTAGGAGAAGTCTGTGTTGCGCAGCGCCACAGTGGAAGCTGTGTCTGTCATGTTGAAGTTGTGCACGTGGCTTAATAGATTTTGAAGCAAAACGCATCGGATTTGCTTCATGCAAGGCAAAAAGGTTCCGTGTGGAAAAAAATTTGCAACACAAAGTGTTCGCTCTTCTGATGGTGGGGCACTTTTCATCTTAATACAGCGTTGGGGCGCACCGCACGGGAAGGGAGTTCCTATCCTGTGCAAAAGTATCGTACTCCTAGTAATCGTAATCATGCATTACAAATCTCCTTCTTCACCTAAATCCGCATTACAAATTCCATTTTTCATGCTGAGGGGATTTGTCATGCGATTTCTACTAGTGCGATGCTTTTGCATTTGATAGTTCCCGCTGTTCAGTAAAAAGGACGACGTAGACGAAAATAACTCGAGAAAGGAGTCTATCCTGCGTAAAAACGTACCCAGTCCAGAGTTGTCATGCGCAGGTTGCATGCATAGCAGGAGTTAGTTTCCTCTGCGAGGACGGCACCTTATTTATTTGTTGAGAGGCACTTATTTCTCCATGACGTTGGGGTTCTTTCGCTAGTTGTGATGCCCTATTAACAAGCATATTCAGGTGGTTTTGTCATGCGGCCGCGCGGCTTTCTAAGTACGACTATGCTAGTACGGATCCAGGTTTGATGTCATGCGTGAGGTGCAAAACTGGTAGACGTAGATTTGTGTAGCCTAGGAGGTCGTATCCTTTCACCTCTGGGGCGGGTGATACGTTTTTGCACACGATAGAATCCGTGCCCAATTTCACGTGGCCGAAAACGAAGTCGGAGAGATTCAAATGCACCGTGGTACTGTAAAGGAAGCTTGCTTTCAATTTCATCTTGCGAAAATGCGTCACACATAAATGAGATCACGAACAAGGAGCTTGTCATGCAAAAATGCATCACACAACATACATAGGATCACGGAGCTTGTCATGCAAAAATGCTTATTATCGCGCACTACTTCATCACCAAAATAAAACAGAAACTCGCCCGGTATCCGACAAGTTTGCTGTCCCCCGGTCCGGGTGCCTACTCAGCGCAAACATTTCTCGGGGGAAATAATGGTGGGATGCGGAAGTCGCAATCGGCAGCGGGGGAAAAATTCAACTACACTTGATAAGAGTTGTTTTCTCTTTATTTCCTTCGTTTATTTGTGGTTACTTGTTTTCCCGAGCTGCTTGTCGTGGTGTACGATTTTAGTAGGAGAACTTTGCTATGCTCTATCCCACGAAAAAAGTGTTACAGTTACACGTTTGTAGTCAATTCAGCAACACAAATTTCTCTGCATGAGAGGAAAACTTGTAATGCAGAATTCCTACGGGAAAACACCTTATGAAACGAGGCTTCTTCTATGCGTATCCGGCATGACAGAGGTTGTCTGTCTTGCTTGGCCTGCAACGCAATGTGTAACCGTATACACTTTTTTCTTGCGATATGCTCACCTGGTTTGGTTAACTGCGAATGCGTCGTCGAATCTATTCTATCATCGTTGGATGAAGAGAAATGAACTTGCTTGAACTTTGCGAAGACGAACTGAATACGAGCCTCCCTTGTGAGCTGGCTCGCAATTGTTCTACGCAGAAGTGAAGATAATTGGACAAAATTCTAAACTGTAAAATGTGCTGGAAGATAAACAGAACTGTAGATTATAAAGATTACCGGCAGGAAATCGAAATATAGCTTGGCAAAAACAGCATCCGGCCTTGTGGAGTACGTTTCCGGTCGTGGTGGAAATGTTTCTTCTCTACTAAACGCAGTCAACACCGAATTCCTTTTAATTTCCGTCACGTAGAAGAAGTCGTCTAGTAACAAAAAATCTTTGTCACTTCGGGATCAAACGAGTCGAACCACGTTGAGTGCCGCAAAAGCAAAAGCGATTTGGAGGGATAATAGAGGACAATGGTGTGATCATCATGGAGGGACAATAACGGCGTGAAGTGAAAGTCGAAGTTTTGTTGAGAGATGGTACCAACATGGGTACTTACAACTAGTAGAGAGGGCCAAAAAAGCAGCATGCCCGGTCGAGTGGTAGCGAAATACATCGAGAGAATATTGAAATTTGGAAAAATAGTTTTGGCTTGTTGCCCGGAAAAATGGTTTCGGCTTGTTGGCCTGCGCTGCGCGTTGAGCGCGAAAAAACGTGAAGCTTTTATTCGAGGTCGGAAATTACTATATCTTGATTTCATTTGACGCCGTAGCGTGAATGACTTAAAACTTTGATTTGAGTCGGGATCTTCACATGAAGTGTGTCGAATAGTAATATCCTGTAGTTCTTGATGTGTACAGACGAAAAAATGACGTGCTAGCTAGGATAAAAATATTAAAGACCGAAGAGATGAAGTACAACTACAAATAAGATCTGGCTAGACAAAAAAATCTCTATGTCGCGACGCGCGGCCGTTCCGGGCCGGCGGCCGAAAAATCGTCAGGGCGCAACTTCTTGCGTTGTGCCCGGCAGGAAGGACAAGATGCGGCCCAAGAACACGGCGTTGTAAAGCCACGAGGACCTGCACAGGAAAGAAAATTCTCACCGATTTTGTCGTCGCACGACCCGGTGGGTTTTGCTATTAGAACTACACAAGCTGGTCTTCCACCGTCCTCCGCGCGCCCGAGGACAACTCGTCGCACCAGCATAAATAAAAGTAGCTCGGCCTCGCATCACTGTCACCTTGTAAGTTGCCGGACTAGCCGGATATCCCTCATCTGTTCGACTTCCCCGCAACGACGAGACCGCCGCCCTGTCGTGTCGATCATCAACATTTCCCCGCCGGCGCTTTGCTCTAGGTTTTACACGACCTGGTCGCCAGGAGCCGTGAAGGAGAAAAAATGATCTTCCCAGCGCACGTCTTCGAATCGGACCAGCCGCCGTCCAACTTCGCGCTGCAAATGCGGAAATTCTATCAAATGCAAAAATGTCTGGGTCTGGAAGAATGCAGGAGTTTGTCATGCAGATTTTGCTTGACCCATGAGGTCTGTGATGCATGACCTAGCATCAGAGATTTTGCGAGGGCTTTCTGATGCTCATACCGCATGAAAAACGCCCTCTCCGCGTAGCACAAATTACACCTCTTTTGCCGTTCATGCAATACAGATTTTATGTAGATTCCAAAAGTAGCATCGCAAGTTGTATCCTTCCAGACCCAGACATTTTTGCAATCCATAAATTCGTGATCTTCATCGGGGTAATCCAGTTATTGTGCGGAAAAATCCCCCCTCCCCATAATATCAAAACGAAGTTTCTGATGCTGGATTTGCGTACAAGGATCTGATTTCGCTTGCAGAAAGTGCTTGGCGGCATTTTCCGAGCCTGTTTGGTTATCATGCAGAAGGCTAGCACTTACGCATGACAAACAGGCTTGCCGTACTCAAAAGCGCATGACCACAGACTGGCTTTGGAATGCGGCACATGGCTCCTATTGCCGTATAGGCAATACAAACACGATTTTTGACCACAAATTAGCATCACAAGTTTCCATTTCGATATGGGGAGGGGGGATGTTTCATTTTGATACCAGTTCCTCTGCGTTCTCGGCAGGTTGATCGTCGGCGACACCTTGGTATGCATGGAAAACAGGTCTGGGCCTGGATTTGTGTTGCGAAATGCGGAAGGCAACAAGGATTTGTGATGCATAAAATGCGATTGGCGATTTTTTTGTCATGCTATATGAAACTCAGTTTCTCATGCGTTTTGCGAGTCTGAATCCGCAATGAGCCACCGCGCAAAATAACTTCTGATGCTGTTATGCTGTACAAGGGAATACTCTGCGATGCGAGTATCAGCAACACAAAACTCTTGCAGACCCAGACACGTTTGCACTTGATACTTGGGGTCGCTGTGCATGCTGTTCGTGGTGTCCATGGCCTATATGATTTCTTTCGGCGAGCCGCCCCTGCACATCCGGTGGATCTTCATGTGGACATTCTTCTGCTTCATAAATGCAGGTATAGTAGTGTAGGTTAATTTACAACTATCTATAAATGGTGTGCTACTTTGTCAAACCGGTTTTCGCATGGGAGCAGCTACTTGTCATGCTGTTCATGCAAACAAATACCCAATACACACTCTCGTTCTATAATCAGGTTTCGACTTTGCAATAGCGGCGGTGCGGTCAATACACGTTTACCAGCACTACGACGTTCCAGGAACCTCAAACGACATCAAATCAAAAGTATATCCGCTGCAAATATGATGTCTGCGTCCTCCGTAAGAGTGCGGCTGTTAATATTTCTTGCAATGCAACTTTTGGATGATCACGCAAATGCAAATCACCCGGAATGCACGGCAAAGCATCTTCATAGCTTTTGCGACTGCCACCTCCCAGCACTGCCACCTCCTACTTCTATCACGACTTGTTTGATGTGGAGTGCAAAGGGGGCAGCTTTTGGCGGTCATGCAACACAGACATGATTTCGCGTGATCTTCATCCCAAGTTGTACTTTCTACTATGCATCACAAAGCCGGGTCTCTTCGGATTTACAGACAGGTTTGCAGAGCATACGGTACCGGTCTGGCAGATTGTCGTCGTTCTCACCGTATGGATTGCAAATATGTCTGGGTCTGGAAACTTGTGATGCTAGTCTGTGTCTGGTGGGCACACTGCAATACGCAGCCACGCATGACAAGTCTCTGGGCTCCTTTATATTTCGTTTTCCGCATGACAAACTGCATTTTTGCACAACAGGCAAGAGGCACTTTTCCTGCTCATGCGTCACAGATTTCTGAGTCGTGCCAGACAAGCATGACAAACTTGCATTCTTCCAGACCCAGACACTTTTGCATTTCATACACCGTGTCATGGCTGGGCGCGCTGTCCGAAATTTTTGGAGCCATACTAGGCTACAAGGTAGGAAATTATTTCTAGTGTCATTTTTTGTCATGCGGTAGCAAGCGGTTTTATTTTTGCTGCCACATGCACGTCCACGTCTGGTGAAGTTGTTTTTCTTTTTGCAGACGTCTGTTGTTTTTGCAAGACAGGAAGACGCTGGTTTAGAAGATGAAAATACAAAATCAACAGCTGTACCAAGACTTCCAAGAGAACGAGCTCCAGGCGATGCAGTCCCTCGCGCATATCCTGAGCAAAATTTAATCGTCAAGAAGTTTTGCCTCATGCGCATCACAAGTTCATCTTTTCACCTCCAGTTTAATTAGTCCGGTGGAGGGTAGTACTAGGTGGTGCAGTCGCATCACAAATGGAGTTTTCTTAGTATCCTGATTCGAACATGGCAAATTCGTCCCAGGCAGGACTGGAAAATTCTTCTCATGGAGGTGCGCATGATAGAGAATTTTTCACGCAGAATAGCATGACAGATATACTTAGTTTGGGGACGACGTTTTATTTACTCAGGATAGCGTAGGCCCACGGTTTCCAAAATCTGAACTACGGCGGCATGGGTCGGTATTCCGGCGCAGGAGCAGGAGCAGGTTATCAAAAGCAAAAATCCCCCCTCCCCATATCGAAAAGGTATGTTTTCGAAAATTTGTGTTGCTGATTTGAGGTCGCAAATCACATTTGTATTGCAAGAAGACAACGGCAGAAGCTTCCGCCACACTATGGAAGCGATTTGTCATGCTGTTGGGCCTAAAGGGGAGCCGCTTGCCATGCTGAACAACTCGACGCATACGCCCCTGCCTAGCCTGGGGATCTGACTGCAATGCTTTCCTGCAATACAAACCTGATTTGTGTACTCAAATCCAGCATCAGAAATCTCGTTTTGATGTGGGGAGGGGGGATTTTTCCTTTTGATACAGGTTCAAGAGGACCCTCGCAACCCCAGATGCCGGGCGTCGCCGGCGCGGGAGGATATCGAATGCAAATATGTCGGGTGTAGTTCTTCTGGAACCTTGTGATGCACATCTGTGATTGAGATGGGCAAACACTGTAATGCACAGCTAAGCATGACAAGTTTTTGAGCTTCTATGTGTTTCGTTTTCTGCATGGCAAAGCGCGTTCTTTTCGCCTGACAGGCAAGACGAGGCCCTTTTCCTGCCCAGGCATTACAGATTCAAGAGTCAATGTGAGACAAGCATGACAAGTTTGCACGCTTCCAGAGGACCCAGACAACATATTTGCAGTTGATAGCGGAGGCGGAGAGCCTACCCTAAGCAAAAACGTCCCCACCCCAGAGTTGTCATGCAAATGTGCAATGACAGGAACATTTGTAGTGCGCATCTCCATGAGGGGCATTTCCAGTCGTGTTTTGGTATTTGTAATGCTGTAAACAGGATGAGGAAATGGCTTTCTCATGCGGCTTTACTTGCTAGCCAGCCCTACGCTGCAGATGGAAACTTGTCATGCAGAACTCCCAAAACTTGGGGATTTGTGTTGCAGACTTCCCATCTTAGCTATGGTGTGGGGACGTTTTTACATAGGATAGAGCCGATCCAACCCTTTGCCGGAAATAGGAAAGGTGCAGCAGAACTCCCCCTTTCCCTTTCATTTGTCATGCGAAACGGCATAGAAATCCTGCCTAAGCCACCTGGATCTTTTGGCTGTGATTGCATTATACAGGTTCCACTTGCACTTGGACGAGCTGCTGCCCAGACTGCACTGCAGTCCGGACGTGGGTTTGCATATACAAGTTCTAGGATGTGGGTTTGTCATGCGGAAGCTGCATCCTCTATGTTGTTTCTGTTGCTGCAGAGGTTCTACAACAAATGAGGCAAAGGGGGAGGTAGTTGTGCACTCTCATAGGAAAGGGCCACAGACTAGACGGGGAGGACTCGGGGAGGTGATGATGAAAAGAGAATGTAGTTCATCATGTCGCACAGCATGACAGATTCACTTTGTCGCGCTCGTACGCATGAGAAACTCACTTTGATGTCACATGTACTTATTCACCCTCTTCGGATTTGATGATTGAGCTTGTTGTTATAGCGCCCAGCTACATGTAGTCTTAAGGCTAAGAAGTAGAGACTGTTGCTTGCAGGTATTGCTATGCCTTCCTGTCACGATTAGCCTCTAAGCATCTTGTTGCCACAACTACACTCACGACTAAATTGCCTTCAAAAACAAGTTGATACTTTCTCCTCCACCTCTCGCATCACAATTGGTGAAAAAGCGGTGATACTTTCTAGAGATAAAAAAACGCCACAGAGGTTGTAGTGGCACAAATACTATTATTGCCGTTACTCCCGTTAGCGCACTTTACTAGAACTCGGCTCTTCATCAGGAGAAGTCGCTTCCTTTTTATTTTCAGCTTGAATATCATTTCAGATGACAGCACCTGACTGTCGGTTTTCCTTAAATTGATGATCCACTATACAACTTTATACCGAAAAAACGATCACCTTCACTCTCCACACTTGAACTTCGCCCACGTCCGACCTCGTTGAGGCAACAACATCTTTACACCAAACACCAAACACCAATAGCCTACGCGGAAGGCCATACGCGTTCTCTCGCGGATGGTGCGGTGTGGTCTCGTCCAACTGAGAACTCATTTACTCTTACAACCCACGGGGGTTCTAGTACTTTTCGCCGCGCCTCACGAGAACTATCTTCAGGCTTTCTTTACCGTCCCTACCTGGAATTTTACAGAGTTACACTGCCTTGATTTCAACATCTGTTGCGGCTCCTGGACTACAACTACCTACTGCGGTGAATATCAAATACGCGGCTATTCTTTCTAAAAGGAACTACTACTCGTATTATACTCGGTTTCGAACCTAGTTTGAACAACCTAGTACAAATCCTAGCTCGTAGTTCACTTTTGCCCTCACCGTGCGTGCGTTGTAACGGCCTAGAGTTGTCCAAAATTACTCCTACTACTACTATCTAAAAACCACAACTGGGGAGAACAGCGAGCGTTAAGAGTTGCGAGAACAAGCCAGCGTCATCGACCACAAAAGTACTCGAGATGATGCTAAGTGCGCTCTATTTGTATAAATGCGAGGGGGCTTCTTGCTTCATGGAAATGCAGTGAGTAAAAGGAGCTTCTAAGAACGTCACCAACTTAGTAGATACCGCTGGAAATTATAAGAGCCAATACCACGATGAAGATCCTCTTCCGCCGCTAACAGTACTTCTGTGAGACTACACGAACAACAAGACTCAATCGTCGACTTCCGTTTCTCCCAGATGCAGTCGTGCTTCTGTAGTAGGAGTCCGCACTCTACTTCGCATGAAAAAGTGCAGCAGCTGCCAGAACTCCATTTATTATTCCGGGATAATCGAAACACATTTCCGTGTTGAAGAGTGGTCGTAGCTCTCGCTCGCCGGTCATGTTCATCAGAATGGTTTGCTATTTACCACCTGCCTCATCCGGTCCCGTTGAGCAGCTGCTCTGTTTCTCGTGATAAAAAATTCGGTTACTACATACGTCAAGAAATATCGGTTCGTGCACTTGGAATGATATATAAACGCTTTCCTTGATAGCTACTTATCGACGTGGCCTCGGTGTGTGCTCGTTCTCTGTCGTGCAGTTTCAATCCGTCATTCTCTGTCGTGCAGCTTCAAGGCATCAGTAGTCCTCTCTGTCGTGCAGACTTGATAACCGGTCCTGTGAGTTTTTACTTGACACAACGTTCCGTTTCCGTTCGTGCGTACAGAAGGCTTTGGCATTGTACCAGTTTCTACTGTTTCAAGTTTTCATTTTCTTCACTACCACAGAGGATTAATAAGTAATCTATCACGTCGAGGACCCAGCGCTTTTTGTTACTTACCCCCTAAAGATAAACATCAAAACCAACTACGAAGATGATTCAATTTACTCTTCATCGTCCACCCAGTAGACATTATCATTATCATTATCCACTTTTCATCATCCTACACCTGCGCAGTTCCTTCTCCAAAAGTCGATGGAAAGAAGGACTGGAGAAACATGACCACTAGTGCGACGAAAATCATAATTTGATAAAGTACAATTACCCATGTACTGAAAGAAGAACTTACCTCGCTGCACGTTCTACATTTCTTCACAGATTCTACATTGAATATCATGGTAGAAAACCAGCAAGAAGTAGACCGCTCTACTTCCGGGAACAAAGACCCGCGGGGGCGGGGCAAAAATCCGACTACCGCCAGTCAGCCGGAGCCGCAGCCACGACCCCCGCCCGGGCGTGTTTCGAAGCAGGAGACTTCGACCAGTGGGGCTCCAGCGGTGGCCAGAACCCCGGCCGCGCCTCCACCACGCTCTCTGGTCGTGCCAACATCGGGAGCAGGAGAGTCCTCGTCCATGTCGGCGCACGATCACTTAGTACCCCAGCCGGGGCGGGGACGAGAAGAGGGAAGAAGTGATGTTCATGCGGGTGGTGGTGCTGTGCCAAGTCAAACTAAGACCAACTCCAACAACAAAGGAGGCGCAATTAATCTATCAGTACCACCCCCACCCCCGCCTCCTCCCCCACCACCGCCTGCGACTGCGTCAGGGCCTGGGCACGACCAAACGAAAAAATCTTCCGCGGGCACAATAGTCGCACCGCCGGTAGCGCCGCAAGTGCAACCCGCACGGCAACCGACCAAGGAGGTGCAGTTTTCGAATCTGCCGGCGATCCTGTCCGAGGAAGACGAGGGGCCGGAAGATATCCTGAGCAAAAACGCCCCCACCCCATGGTCAAATTGGGAATCTAGCAACACAAATCTCCAAGTTTTGGGAGCTGTGCATGACAAGTCTCGCTCTGCAGTGTATTGCTAGTTGGCAAGGGAAGCCGCATGAGAAAGCCACTTTCTCATCCTGTTTACACCATTACAAATACCAAAACACGATTGGAAATGCCTCTCAAGGATCCGCGCATTACAAATGTTCCTGCCATTGCGCATTTGCATGACAACTCTGGGGTGGGGACGTTTTCACTCAGGAGAGAAGATGACTTGCTGTTTCTGCCCGTCAAATCCGCGTCGCTGCCGCCGGGAGGCATGAACTTCGCTTCCCACCACGACGACGAGGAGCTCCTGCTCTCCCGGTCCGAGAGCCGGGAACTAGGTGAAGACGAGATCATGCTGGGAAGTGGTGGACCCCTCCTCCAAGCACGACCGGGGGAGGACGATCCATTTTATTTAACAAGGTTTCTGGAGGACGATGGGGTCCAGGATCTGCCTGGTCGTAGTCGCGGAGATTTCAACATCTCACGAGATGAGCATACGCCTGCTAGCACAAGAACTTCACAACACCAATTCATGCCCCGGGGGTCGACGTCTGGGCGACATCTCAACCAAGGCAGCCGCATCGTAAAGTCCCGGTCTTTGTCCATAATAGATCTGCCGTCGAGCACCACGTCCTCGCGGGGTTACAACAACAAGTCCTCCTCCTCGCCCATATCCGATGTAAAAACGTCCCCATACCATAGTCAAGATGGGAAGTCTGCAACACAAATCCCCAAGTTTTGGGAGTTCTGCATGACAAGTTTCCATGTGCAGTGTAGTGCTGCCTAGCAAGGAAAGCCGCACGAGTAGGGCACTTTCTCATCCTGTTTACAGCATTACAAATGCCACAATACGACTGGAAATGCCTCTCATGGAGATGCGCATTACAAATGTTCCTGTCATTGCGCATTTGCATGACAGCCCTGGGGCGGGCACGTTTTTACACAGGATAGCCCAAGAGCGGCCGCTATGTGTCCTACCAGGAAGGGGCGAGTCTGAAGCGGAAGTTGCTTGGGGATCCGCTCTATGTGTTGCAAATATCGATCTGGGTCTGGGAGGTTGCAACTTGTGCTGCTGCATTTGGTTCCCAAAAAAATTTGGATTGCATGAGCAGCACCATCACCAAAGGGAATGCGATTTTTTCTACGCGGAGGTAGTAGGAGTATTTGTCATGCGGAATCGGCACCAGCAAGAACCCCTCAAAAAATATGTGATGCTACGGCATGCATCACAGATCGATTAGGGCTCATGCAAAACGTGCAGGACAAGTCTCAGAATCTACTTCCGACCCAGACCACATATTTGCAATTGATCCGCTCGCCGCGGCGGAAGATGACTGGGAGAATTTTATCGTATTTGAAAACGTCCCCACCCCATAGCTGTAATGCAAATCTGCATGCTGAAAATGCTTCTCATGCGGAGCCCCATGAGAAGCATTTATATTTAGTCGCGTTCTGAAATTTCAATTTGTCATGCTCCAATCAACATGATATGCTAGACCTGTGATGCTGCTGAACTACGTCAAAAAGTACTACACTACGAGTTAAAATTTGTCATGCAAAACAGCCAAAGCTTGTGGATTTGGCTAGCCGATTCCCCGTCTTGACTCTGGGGTGTGGGCCCCGTTTGTACATAGGATAAATTTCGCGACCGCCGGCCCGAACGACGACCCTTCTTTTCTGGTTTACGGAGATACTAGGAGTTCGTTGCAAAGGGATAGGGAAGATGACTACAATTTGGTTCCTGCGGACCACGATAGTGTAGTGGAGGAGGAACAAGGGCAATATGAGGGTGAAGTGATGGTGCTGGACGATAATTTACGGTACCAGAGAAGGACATCATCGGCACCAAGCACAAGTACTATCGCCAGCACGCGCGGGGGACGTGGAGTAGAGCCACAGCAGCTACAAGCCGCCGGTCCAAACCAGCTCCAGGGCAGGCCTGGGCGCGGAACTCCGCATCCAAACAGGCACAACTTCCCCCACCCCTCGTCCGATCGCAGGCCCAATTTCAGCACGCCCGCCAACCACCGGCCCACCAACGCGCAGCAGCTGGCGCGGCGGAAAACCGCGGCGCAGGACTTTGAATTCCAGGATGAGTTGGCCAGCCGACGGGCGGTGACCACGCACTGGCGCACCCGACAGCGGATATCAAAAGGAAAAATCCTCCCACCCCATACTCACTGGAAATATCTGATGCTGATTTGTGACCGCAAATCATGCTGTCATGCTAGAAGGCAAAAGATGCGGACTGTCGTGCTGGCTGGCGTGGGCAAGCCTTGGATCTTCAGCTTGACAGGAGGCAAGTGGAAGTGGAAAACAGCATAGCAAGTGGCCTGCAATTAAGGCCGCGACTGCGGCTCTTGCCATTCTTGCAATACAAACTGATTTGTGTACGCAAATCCAGCATCACAAACTTCCTGTCCGATATGGGGAGGGAGGATCTTTCCTGTTGATAGCGGAACAAGCCGTTGCCGAATTTGCTCACCCGCACCGTGTATCAACTGCAAATATGTCTGGGTCTGGAAGAATGCAGATGTTTGTCATGCTGCTTTTGCTTGATACAGAAGGTCCGTCATGGAAGACCTAGCATCACAGACTTCGAGAAGGTTCCGCAATGCCTAATCCACATGACAAATCCCCCACTTTGGTGGCAGGAAATGGGCATCTTTTGCTGCTTATACATGAGAGATTTGTTTGTGCTGTCAAATGCGCATCACAAGTTCGCACTCTTCCAGACCCAGACATATTTGCATTTGATACCGTGGGGTCTTCCGTGTCCACGCTAGCCTCGCCGCTGTTCACCAATAGGTCCGTGGAGTCACTGTTTTTTTCCGCGAAATATCACACAGAAAAAAGCCGGCAGGTCACATTTGTAATGCAAAAATAAATACACAAGAAAATCTGTATTGCGTTATATCCTGAACAGCATGCTATGGGTCCGCCCATGACACATTTTTCTGTGTATTTATTTTTGCATTAGAAATCTGCCCTGCCTGTTTTTTTCTCTGGGATACGAAGTCGATCCAGACGCGGAGGCGGACGAGTTTGAACCCAACCGAGGTGGAGCAGTTGCTGCGCCAAAGGGGCCGGTTTGTCGTGCACCCTACGAACAAGTTCAACCAGCTGATCAACCTGCTGACCCGAATCGCGATGCTCTACGTCACGTTTGTGACGCCGTTCGAGGTGGTGTTTTTGAACCAGCCGTCCTCCATATTGCAGGTAGAAATCCTCCCTCGCCATATTGAAAACGTACCCGCTGAAAATTTGCGATGCAGATTGGTGACCACAAATCCTGTCTGTCTTGCTAGAAAGCAAATCCGGGCTCTCTGCCTCACTGTGTAGGCGATTTGTAGTGCTGTAAGGACTACAGAGCAGCCGTCTACGTTGCTAGGCGCCTACACCAAAAGGCCCCTATCTAGGCTTGCGATTCGCGTGCAGTCCTGCTCTACTGCAAGACAAATCTGATTCGTGTACGCGGCTCCCGCATCACAGATTTCCTTTTCGATAGGGGGAGGGGGGATTTTTCCTGTTGATACTCCATCCTCTTTATCTGCGACCGGGTGGTGGACGGGTGTTTTATCACGCACATGTTCCTGCAGTTTTTCGTCATGTACAAGATCCCCGCGACCATGCACGGTGGTGACATTTGGGTCACCTCGCACAAGTCCATCGTCACCAACTACCTGTCCACCTGGTTTCTGATCGACTTTCTCGCCGTGTTCCCGTGGTGGGCGCTGGCTGGGGCGGATTACGGGTCCAGCGAAAACGTGTGTTACATGACACTGGGGGCGGAAGACAGCTGGAGCGGCGGCAGCAACAGTGGTACCACTTCTACTCACATCCATGGGCAGCAACAATTGCACGACCCCTCCTCGTCGCCGGGCAATGTGGAGGTGTGCAAGGACACGCAGGGCAGTGAAACGGTGTTTCTGCGGAACATCCGGCTGCTGCGCTTGTTCGAGCTGTTGCGGCTGGCGCGGGCGGTATGGATGTGTCAGAATCGAAATCGTCAAAGTTGAAAAAGTTTGTCATGCATAAAATGCAACACACAAAATGCCTGTCTTGCAGAGTAGGCAAGACAGGCAGACTGTGAGCCTGTTGCGGGGTAGGAATAGAGCTGCTAAAGTAGCATGACAAAAGGCGTCCTCCTTACCCAAACAGCATTACAGACTGGATTCCGGCTCTACCCAAATTTGTCATGCGCCGCTTAGAAATTGGGCTTCCAACGGGTATCGATTTTATGCATTACAAATTATTTCAACTGTGTCGATTTCAATCCTGACACTCCCATAGGCGGGGGACATCGTGCAGGAATTCTCCTCCGCGTTGCCTTACCCCCAAGCTATCGAAAGGAAAAATCCCCCCTCCCCATATCGAAAACGAAATTTGTGACGCTGTATTTGAGCTCACAAATCGACCTGTCATGCTAGAAGGCCAACAAGAGCCGCAGTCGTGGCCTCGTTTGCAGGCAATTTGTCATGCTGTTTCCCACTTTTAGTGGTTTTCTGTTAAGTTGAAGACGCAAAGGTTTATAATTCCCACGCCACCCAGCACTACAGTGTCTACATCTTTTCCCGTGTAGCATGACAAAGCTGATTAGTGACAACAAATCTGCACCACAGATTTCCGTTTTGATATGGGGGATTTTTCCTTTTGATACAAGCGGCGCAGTCGCTCATCAAGTTCATCGGCGTGTTGCTGGTATCCAGCCACTGGCTGGCCTGCATCTGGGCCTACCTGGGGCTGAGCTACGTGCAGTTCGTGGGGATCGACCAATTGTTTTACCAGAACAAAAATTTTCTGAATATCCTGTGTAAAAACGTCCGCACCCCATAGTTGTCATGCAAAGCTGCATGCCAAGAAAGTTTCTCATGCGGAGCCCCATGAGAAGCATTTTCTAGTCGTGTTTTGAAGTCTGTGATGCCAGAAGGAGAACGATATGCTAGATCTGTGATGCTGCTGAGCTAGCTAATCAGGATTACACTACAAGGATCGAAACTTGTCATGCGAACCAACCATAGCTGGCTGATTTGTCTAGCAGATTTCCCGACTTGACTCTGGTGTGGGGACGTTTTTTCATAGGATACTGAAGGAGCCCATGAGCTGGCGGATCGCCGGGTTTGACATTCCGGAGGTGCTGCCGGCCGGAACGACGGGCGGGGGAACAAGCGGTAGTAGTTCTTCCTTGTACGTAGCGCACGTGGGCGGGCACTCGGACAGTGGCCGACTCTTGTTGACAACATCGCCACGTCGAACAACATCATCGGGGGGCGATGTTCTTCAGGCAGAGGAGAATCATCTTCATTCATCGGGTGTAGTTCATCTCGGGCGGAACAACCATGATCATCTTCACGACTTGTCCTCTGCTGCTGCCGCTGCTCCTACTAGAAGTAGAAGTACTGCGGCGAGTTATTTCGAGAACGGTACCAGTAAAAGACCAACGTTCTTCCCCCACCTCCAGTACGATAGGACCAGGGGTACTATAAGGAGCGAAGATATGATTAGTACCAGGGCGGGGACTTCTATAAGGAAAACGAAAAGTGCCACGACGTCTTTTAGTGGACGAGGGGAAAAGAACATCAACTTCTCCTCTAGCGAAGATTTTTACAGAACCGCAGTTCGGAGGAGGAATGGAAGTAGTGGTTCACCAGATAAAGGACATCGCAACTACCGGAAGAATTACCCAAGCCAGTGGGACCACGGGTATAAAGATCATGGGCAAGACAAAGACTTGAATTATTTCGACGCTGATTTAAAAATACAAGAAGTACCTCCAGATCAAGCTGCTCCTGCAGGAGAGAGGGCGCAAAAGTTTTTCGGGAAGAGCAACTCTAAGGTTTGGACGTCACCTATGGAAGCGTCAGGTTTGAAATCGTCAAAGTTGAAATAATCTGTAATGCATAAAATGCATGACCCGAGGCACGTGTGTTGCAGAGCAGGCAAGTGAGGCCGATTGTAAGCCTGTTTGGGGTTACAGCTCGAGCTGCTAAAGTAGCATGGGAAAATCGCTCTTCTTTGCCTAAACAGCATGACAAACTGGATTTAGGGACCACCGAAATTTGCCATGCGCCACTTGGAAACTGGGTTCCAACTGGCATCCATTTTATGCATGACAAATGACTTCAACTTTGTCGATTTCAAACCTGACGCTTCCATATCACCTCCTGGCGACGTCGACACCAACCTTGCCAGCATGGCGTACCCGTTGGAATTACTACACAAGAACTACGCGGCCCGTACTAGCCATAGTACTACCCACGACGCCGACCTAAGTACAACTAGAGCTGCACAACTCGGCAGTGTTGGTATCGACCGCGGAGGCGATGGTCCTCTTGCTGGTACAACTGAAAGTACTATAACAACTTCCACTCCTAGCACGAATCCCTCTCCTCACCCGCGACCGTCACGCCGTCGCACGGCTGGACAAGAGGGCGAAGGGAATGAAATTATAGGGCGAGGAGATGAACTTGAACTTGATGAACCAGGATCATCATCATCATCATCGCAACCTCGTCCATCATCTGAGGACGTGGACGAGCAGCAGTTTTATCTGGAGATGAATAAGCCAAGTGCACCAGCCGCGGGTCCTCCGGGTGCCCACCGCCGGCACCTGGGTTTGCAGCTGCAGGAGGAGAACCTGGACTTCGGTAGCATTCCGGAAAGCATCTACACCAAGAAACTCTCCTGGATCGAGGCCTTTTGCAACTGCCCGACGGCGTTGACCCTGTACGAGGTGCAGCTCTGTTTGAAGTGCCGGCACGACCCCGAGCAATTATACGCGGTCTCCCTGTACTACGCGCTCATGACGCTCACCTCCATCGGGTACGGGGACACCGGCACCGCCATATGGATTGCAAAAGTATCGTAGTCGTATACATGCATTACAAATTTCCTCAGCATGAGAAATGAAATTTGTAATGCTGGTTTACCTTAAGAAAAAGATTTGTAATGCAAGACGTGCATTTATACGAGTACGATACTTTTGCACAGGATACGCCAAGACCCCCGACGAAAGGTTTTTCGGCTGCGTCATGATGTTTCTCGCCGGCATGCTCTGGACCGCGGTGATCGGCGTATCAACTGTAAAAGTGTCTGGGTCTGGAAGATTCTGACACTTGTCATGCACGTTTTGCATGAGCCGTGATGTCTGTGATGCATACCCTAGCAATACAGATTTTTGGAAGGCTTCTTGATGCGTATTCCGCATGACAAATGCCTTCTCAGCGTAGCAAAAATTGCATTTCCTTTGGTGCTCATGCAATACAGATTTTTTTGGAATCCAAATGCAGCATCACAAGTTGCTTTCTTCCAGACCCAGACACTTTTACACTTGATACGGCGCGGCCTGTGGCGTTTTGGCGAACATGGACCCGAGTCAGCGGGACTTCTTTCAATCCATCGACGAGTTGAACAAGCTGATCAACTTATCCTGAGTAAAAACGTCCCCACGACCCCAGAGTTGTGATGCAAATGCGCGATGTCAGGAACATTTCTAATGCGCAGCTCCACGAGAGGCATTTCCAATCGTGTTTTGGAATTTGTAATGCGGTAAACAGGATGAGAAAATCGCTTTCTCATGCGGCTTGCCTTGCCAACCAGCACTACACTGCAGAGGGAAACTTGTCATGCACAGCCCGCAAAACTCGGAGATTTGTGTTGCTAGATTCCTAAGAACTTGACAATGGGGCGGGGACGTTTTCGCTTAGGATACAACTCCCTGGGGTTGAGCAACCGGCTGGGGAAGAAGCTCCGCGTGTTTCTGTACAAAACGATATGAGAGTTGTGCACAACTCCCCCTCGCCCTCACTTATTGTGCTATTGCATGATGAACAGCTGCTGCTGCAATACAAATACCAGCCTACGTGCAGCCTGTGCATGACAAATTCATGCACTTCTAGTCGTGTAGCACTGTCTGGGCTCCTTCCGGAATCTGTCATGCATAACAGTGACGCCAGGGAGCAATTGGAGTTGAGATTTTGCATGAGAAATGAGAACGAGGGGGAGCTATGTGCACTCTCATAAACGAGGGACTTGTCCCGCCACGAGAATTACAAGAACCTGATGCAGAAGATCTCCCCCAACCTATCAAAATGAAAAATCCCCCCACGACACTATACTCAAACGGGAAATTTGTGATGCTGATTTGTGACCACAAATCATGTTCTTGTCATGCTAGAAGAGGAAAAGAAAGATGCGGACTGCAGTGCTGGCTGGCGTGGGCGGAAGGCCTTGCATCTTCAGCATGACAGGCGGTAACTGGAAGTGGGGAACAGCATAACAAATGGCCTGCAATTATGGCCGCGACTGCGTCTCTTGCTCTTCTAGCAATACAAATCGATTTGTCTACGCACATCCAGCATCACAAATTTCCTGTCCGATATGGGGAGAGGGGATTTTTCCTCGCAATACAACCTGCAAGCGGAGCTGTTCTTCAAGCTGAACTCGTTTTTCCTCCTCCAAGTCCCCTGCTTCACGGCCTTCGAGCAGAAGTTACTGGCCTCGGTGTGCAAGAAGCTGAAAGACCGCGTGCTCGCGCAGGGGGAGGTTTTCGTGGACATTCAGTGCCTGTGGATTCTGAAGCGCGGCCTGGTGTTGATGGACGGAAAAATCTTCTTCACCGGGCGGTATTGGGGCGACGACGTAATCCTAGACGACCCGGACTTGCTACGGTTCTACCGCGGGGCCTATCAAAAGGAAAAATCCCCCCTCCCCATATCAAAACGAAGTTTCTGATGCTGGATTTCCGTACACAAATCAGAGCTGTCGTGCAGTAGAGGAGTGCAGGCATATGTTGCCGTGCCTGAGTACAGAGCTTCTGACGTGGACGCTTCGTGTCACAAATGTCTATGCTGTAGCCCGAGCAGCATCACAAACCGTCTGCCTAGTGTGGCGGAGACTGTAGAGTGGCCTTCTTGCAAGACAAAAAGATTTGTGGCCACAAATCAGCATTGCAAATTTTCTGCGAAGTTGCACCTCTTTGATATGGGGAGGGGGGATTTTTCCTTACGATAAAGCCGCGCTCACGTACTGCGAGTGCACGCAGTTGTCCAAGCAGGATTTGACGGAATGTTTGCTTCGCTTATGCACTGCAAATATGTCTGGATGTCTGGAAAGCTGCAGCTTGTCATGCTAAATCTGGATCATGCAAAAATTTGTGTTGCATGATCATTGCCAAAAGCTGTCCACTCTTGACCAAGTTGGGAGTAAGTTTCTCATGCAGGATAGGCATGATGCAGATCTACTTACAGAATCTGTCATGCTAGATCCTGCCTTCCAGACCTCATGCATCATGTTGAACCTGCATGAGAAGTCTTGCACTCTTCCATGTACCCAGACATATTTGCAGTGGATATCGCTACCCGATGAACGAAGTCGAGGCGAAAAAGTTATCCCGTGCAAAAGTATCGTATTCGTATGAATGCAAGTCTTGCATTACAAATCTTTTTCTCAAGGCAGATCCGCATGACAAATTTTATTTCTGATGCTGAGGAAATTTGTAATGCATTTATACGAGTGCGATGCTTTTGCAGTTCATAAAAGTTTCGCGCGTACAAGGTGAAGCTGGCGGCCATGCGGGGGGTGATCAATGCGGCGAGGCTATCGCAAGGAAAAATCCTCCCTCCCCATATTGACGCGGGAGGTTTTCGAAAATTTGTGTTGCTGATTTGTGACCACAAATCGCGTCTGTCTTGCAAGACGGCAACTCCACCGGCTCCTCCGCCGCATTATGCGGGTGTTTTGTCATGCTGCTGGTCCTACAGCACGGACGTTTTTCATGCTAAGGAGCGCCGAGGCGAAAGCCTCTGCGCTCAGGCTTGATCATATGGGTCTGCGGTCCTCTCCAGCAAGACAGATCTGATCTGTGTACTCAAATCCAGCATCAGAAACTTCGTTTTGATCATATGGGGAGAGGGAGTTTTCCTTTTGATAGAGGCGGAAGGAATTCGAGATGCTACGGATGAAACGGTTTGCGTCGCGGTCCAACTCCTCTCTTACGGGAACTACGTTATCGAATGCAAATATGTCCGGGTCTGGAAACTTGTGAAGCAAGGAAGGGAAGAGTGAGCACTCTGTAATGCGCTGCCTAGCATGACAAGTTTTTCGTTTTCCGTGGGTCTGAGTTGCGTACTCCGCATGAGAAACTGCATTTTTGCATGACGGGCAGGAGGCGCTCTTCGCGGCCACGCAATACAGATTTCAGAATCATACCAGACTAGCATGGCAAATATCGCAATCTCCCAGGCCCAAACATATTTGCAATTTCATATACGTCGGGTGCTTACAACGGTTTCCCCCTCAAACGCAGAAACTCGTTCAGCAGCTTCAGCAATCCGGTCCTGTTCCAGGAGGGCAGCCACTACTTGCCGGTTCTGAAGCGGTCCGTCACCATCGATAGTTACAACAGTGAGCAAGACCGGGAGTTGCAACAGATGCCGTCGCCGCGCAGTTATGCATTGCAAAAGTACCATCGTACTAGTATAAATCGCACGACAAATTTCCTGAGCATGGGAAATGGACTTTGTAATGCGGATTTGAGTTGAAAAAAAAAATGTCATGCATGATAGCGATTCATTACTACGAGTACGGTACTTTTACGAAGCATAGCAGTCCGTCGATGGACTTGCCCACGGACCCCCGGGTAGCAGTGCAGCTCCGGGGGCGGGGCGGTAGCGCGGCCGGCGCGCGGGGGTTTCTGGACCACGACGAGCCCTCCGGTGTCGAAATGAACACGCCCACGAGCGGGTCCGGGGGATTGGGGGTTGGCGGAGGGGGAGGACCGGCGGGGCCCCCGCAGACCCCGGCGTCCATGGGCGGCGGGCAGCACGTATCCTGAGGAAAAACGTCCCCATTGTTGTCAAGATGCGGATTTTGCAACACAAACCTTGAAGCTTTGGGAGTCAGACGCATGACAAGTTGCAGTATTGTAGTGCAGCTGCATAGTCTTTGGCGAGGACAGCCGCACTACAAATCCATTTGCTGTTCCTGTTTACAGCATCACAAATGATCCCAAAACATCATGACTGGAAATGCCTATCATGGGGTCCCGCGCATCACAAACGTTCTTGTCATTGCAAATCTGCATGACAACCCTGGGGAGGTGGGGATGTTTTTGCATTTGATAGCACGAGATGAAAAACGTGGTGTCCAAGCACCTGCCCTTCACGAAGAGGCACCTATCCAGTGCAAATATGTCTGGGTCTGGAACAAGGATGCAACTTGTCATGCTGCCTTTGGATTCGACATAGAATCTGTATTGCATGAATAGCAAAAGAGGTGCAATTTTTTCTACGCGGAGAGGGCATTTTTCATGCGGTATAAGCATCAGAAAGCCCTCGCAGAATCTCTGATGCTAGAGAATGCATCACAGACCTCATGGTTCATGCAAAATATGCATGACAAACTCCTGCATTGTTCCACACATCCAGGGATATTTGCAATGCATAGCACCTGTCGCAGATCCATTTCACGCGGAAGCTGCCGAAAAACAGCATCTACCAAGACGACAGCGAGGGGGAAAACATGGCGTTTGTGCATTACCTGCTGAACAAGAAGGAGGAGCAGGACAACGAGGTTTGCACGAAGCCAGTGGTGCAAATGGTGCTGCAGAATTTTTCGAAGAATTTCACGAAACTGCTGCGGAACCTGATGAAGGAAACGGTGGTGCAATCCTTTGGGGAGCAGGTTTTGGGCTCTCTGCGCCGGCGCACCGCCGGCGAGGGGGGGCGGGCGCAAGACCACGACGACCAAGAGCCTGTTGCTGGTGGTGCTGCTGCTGCCGCCCAAGTGAAGCAAGAAACAGACATTTTGCTCACAAGTTCCTCTTATCAAATGCAAAAATGTCTGGGTCTGGAACATTGGAACACTTGTCATGCACATTTTGCATTAACGATGATGCCTGTAATGCATGACCTAGCATCAGTGATTTTGCGAGGGCTTCCTGATGCCTATACCGCATGAGGAATACCCCCTCCGCGTAGCATAAACTGGACTCCTCTTGCTCCTGACGCAATACAGATTTTTTTGGAATCCAAAGACAGCATGACAAGTTCCATCCTCCCAGACCCAGACACTTTTGCATTTGATAACTCTGAAAGCACAGCGGACAGCAGCAACTCCAGTTCCGACGCGCAGGACTCGACGCAACAGGCAGTCGCCGGGTATCGAAACAGCCCTCTGCAGCAGCAACAACAGCAGCAGCAGCTTTCGATGGCCGAGAAGTTGGAGAAGGACGTGCTGCGGGTATTGAAACTGAAAAACCGACTACGCCTGGAAAAAACTGTGTAAGTGTAACTTTGAAGTGAAGAGCAGCATCACAAATTCGTTTTGCATTACAGGGAAATAAACCTGTCACATGCGCTGCTAGTATGTTGAAACACGTATGAAAGTAGTAGCCTATGACGCACATCCAGCATGACAAGTGTAACAGTTTTGCACTTTCTGCATCACAGACATGCACTTCTCACATAGTTTTTTTCTTGCATACCGACAGTATTCCAACTACCTAGCGGCAGAGAACAAGAACGGGGGTTCTTACGCACACGGAAAGATAATAAACGGAGCGCATATGTTAAGCGGATTTGGGTGGAACGGGGCAATATCAAAAAGCGACAGGAACACGAATAACTACACATCTGCCGAGTACAACGTAAGCCCGGGAGGAGCTGCAGGCGGTGGCACGTCAGCGACCACGGGAGCCGCGAGTTCCAATGCGTTTGTCCTGCCGGTCGCATCCAACAGCGCGGGTGGAACGGCACCGTCTATCAACTGTAAAAATGTCTGGGTCTGGAAAAGTGTAGACTTGTCACGCAGATTTTCCATGACCCATGAGGTCTGGAATGCGGGACTTAGCATGACAGACTCTGCGAGGTCTCTGCCATGCCTATCCTGCATGAGAAACGCCCCTGCAACTTGGTCAAAAGTGTACAGCTTTTGGCACTCATGCAACACAGATTTTCGCATGCTTCAGATTTACCATGACAAGTTGGAATCTTCCAGACCCAGACATTTTTGCAATTCATACCGTCCGCACTCCAGCAATCGCGCGGAGGTCCTCGTGGTTCCCCTAGCAATCGGGCGGAGGAGGACATGACAGAATTGGATTTTATCCTGAGGAAAAACGTCACCACCGCAGATTTATCATTTAGATTTGCATCTACAACAAGAGCATTTGTAATGCGCATCCCCATAAGAAGCGTTTTAGATTTAGTCGTGGTTCGGCATTTGTAATGCTGTAGACAGCATCAACTAATGGGACGGCTTTTGTGATCCACGACGGCTGGCCTTGCTAATGTGCACTACAACATCTTCGAGAGCAGCTTCAGTTCGTCATACGTGACTCGCAAGACTTCTGGATCTGTGATGCAAAATTCTGAACCTAACACTGGGGAGGTGGGGACGTTTTTCCACCGCATAGATTTCAGTCTGTCGTTACCGCCAAGGACGGCGTTCAGCCAGACCAAGTTACTGGAGGTGGAAGAGAGGGAAAGTAGAAATGCGGCGGTATGCATTGCAAATCTGTCTGGATGTCTGGAAGAGGGCAATTTGTAATGCAGCTGCCTTTGGATTCTACGAACATCTGTAATGCGCGAGCAGGAAGAAGGAGTGCAGTTTTTGCATCGCGGAGGCGGAATTTCATTTTGTTATGCTGTATAGGCATCAGGAAGCCCTTCCCAAATCTGTGATGCTAGGGCAGACATCACAGACATTATGGGTCCTGCAATAAAACGGGCATGACAAGTCTTGCAATCTTCCAGACCCAGACATATTTGCAATTCATAGTCGGAAAAAGTGGATTACAAAAGGTCGCAGAGTTTGTGACGACTTTATGTATTGCTATTGTACTAGAACTAGTAGTCCCTGCAGCAGGAGGTGATCACGCAGGGTGTGAGTGTCTGCTTTATTTCTAAGTTATAAGAAGAAAAAAGAAAAACCTAAACCACCAGAGAGATGAACTTCTTTCTGTGGGGTTGCAGTTGCACTACCTACGAAGTAAGTACTTATCCGCATAATTCATGGGGGAAGAACGCTCTTTGATTTGTGAAAAAGACAAGAGTTGGTATTATTTAGACAAACCGAAGATCAACATGCGCCACTAGTGGCTCGTCGCAGGCGTTGATCGTGGCGCTGGCTGTTCGTTTTACTAAACCTGAAAAGTTTGAAGAAGCAAATAATTGCATAAAACATCATACGACCTTCATCTTCGCGAATCGTTCGTAGACATGTGGTAGATACCATGATCTTCGCTACAAAAGTCGTGTGAAAGCAAAGCCGGATGAATTAGCGCTGAAGAGGAGTTATTCTATCGTGGTCGTTTTCGATTTTATTGTAATTCGTCGGCTACATTTTGATTTTCATCACGCAGCAGGGCAAATCCATCATCGTCTCGTGAACGTGCAAAGTCTAATTCGTTGAAAAAGCTACATATTTACTCGTCGCGACGGCGTACTATCGTCCTAGGTCGACAAGGAAAAGCAGTTCGTACGAAGATCCTTAGCTCGTTCCGTACGCAGTTGTAGGTCGTCGTCGTGCTGTCACAGATATCAAAGCCAAGCGTAGGAAGTAGATAAAGTATCCTTCTGTAGGAGGCTAGGTACCAATTTTGATGTAAGAAGAAGCACAACTACTTTTGTGATCCCAAAAACAACCTTACAAGCAGGATTTTTTTTCGTTCTTGTTCCCAGGAGCAGCAATCAGGAAAAGCCAAAGATAGCACACTCGTCCGGTGGAGACGCAGCGCAACCTTCGAAACGCTATTCCTTGAAACCCGAGGTATTAAGTTTTTTTGTTGATTTCGCAGGCACTCTGCTCGTACGTCGCGCTTTCAGATCTAGTTGCTAGTGGTTCACTCAGGGGCACTCATTTATACTTGATACGAAACAATGGACCAACATGATGTAATAAGCACGAGGAAAGCCACTTGATTCCATCGTCTATATTCTCATTGCGTTTGTGTTGTTCGAGATAGACAGATATGAGGAAAAATATAGATCAAAGCGCAAACAAAAGCGACAACTTGAATTTCCAGGTACTCACCGTCTTGAGTTTTGACGCAAGAAGCACGTTTGGCGTGTATTTCGATTTCCCGATTTCCCGCAGCGTCAGGAGAACAGTCAGACAGCCGGTATGTTTCTTTTTCTTTACTAGCGATGGGCTTTTCTTCCTCCTCAGCGAGGACATGAATTGGCACTAGCGATGAAGATAACATGCATCTTCATCACCAGCATCATCATGATGAAGTATGCAGTTCCTTCGGCATTAGAGCCGGTCAGTTTGTATGTCGCAAGATGAATTTGTTTAAGATCAAAGTGCTGTAGCTGCACGCTGCCGAATCGAAGTCATCTTTTGTGCCTTAGGCGCGTGACGAATCTCTTTCTTTTTTTAAAACAGGTATACCTGCTCGGACTGTGTTGCAAGACTCTTTGTGCTGTCCAGGATGACCAAAACTGCGCAGAAGCTGTTCATTTCCTCCGCCGCCCTGGTGGCCGCGGAGAAGAAAATGGAAGAAAACCGTGCGAAGAAAATGGTTTGGGCCGGTCACGAAGTCAAGGGGCAGCTGGAGCAGGCCGACACGCCGCCGATCAGCCCGTCGAACTGGAAGCCGGTATAGAGTTGTGTTTGCTCCCAATGAATGTAAATGGTCCTCATGCGTGATCTTTGTCTTTGTGTCGGTCGAGTGAAGATGCGGGCTGGTCGGCTACGTCTGCTTCTTGAAAGCATTTTCCAACATGTATCAATCATACCATATCAACAGCGCCAGCAATCCAGCAATCCAGCAATCCAGCAAGCGTTTCTGGATGTCGACAAGAAGCAGCAGGAGGCGAGTAAAATCTTGACCGGCGAAGCAGTGGACACGGTGAAGTCCAAGGCACACCAGAAGAAGGCGCTGGCGGGGGAGGCGACGAAGGCCAAGGCGCGCACGAAGAGCGAGTATGTTAACGGCAGTGCCGGCCAGGCCAGTGTGGACTGGAACGCTCATGACCCGAACGAGTGGAAGCACCAAGAAGGCGTGGGAACGAAGATCTCGAATGCGTGGAACGAAACCGTGGCAGCGCCGGTCTCGAATTGGGGGAAGCAAGTGACTGCTGGAAAAGCGGGGGAAGGCGGGTACCAGAACCCCGTTCTGGACGGCTTCAGCGCCATGGTCTCTGGTTAACCCGTCGAAACAGGGCGAAACGAGCAGAAAAATGAGGTCCGCTCCCCCGTCTTGCGAAAAAGTAATAATTTTATCTGGTCAAACAGCAACAGAAATTTTGTCGTTCGCTTCTGCTTTGTATCTACTCAGACTTCCACTTCTATTTTACATTGCAATATTTAAGAAGTGATCTGCAGCTCCTGTAGCTCTACCGGTTTGCAGAGCGAAGTAATCAAGTCGCGTAATAGGACTTTTCAAAATAAAGCCGTCATTCCAAAGTAAAGCTGTATGTATTCAAGTGAACAAGAAGACTCACCCCTACGACCATCAGAGTTTTCCGTTTAGGTATCCTCGCGCTCCTCTGGCCACCTGATCCGGAACAAAAGCACAGCTGTCATTCTGTTTTTGCACAACTTTAATTTTAGCTTAGTCAATCTATCATCGTGATCGTGCCTTCATCTGAGCCAAACAGCAAACAAAATTTCCGTGATTCTCAGTAAGTTTTTCGCTTTAAGAAACGTCATCTCTCGCAGAACACCATGCATAAACCTACCCCAAACTGAGAAGAAACTCAACATCTAGGAGGGTTTTCCGTCCCCTGATTATTCTGAAACTGCGTCCACCCCTAGAAGTAAGTAAGTATTTTAGTCGTCCCGTCTCACTTTAAAGTTCGCACAACATCTTGCCCTACCGACGCCGTTCGCCTAGCCTGCCCCATGGCATAGCCTGCTCCATGATACATTACATCCTGCCTCTTGGCATAGCCTGTCAAGGAACTACTATAGCATCAAGAAGCTCTACCAAGGTAGAAGAATCCTGGCGGGCGATCTCGTTCTGGGTAGAACTCGTGGTAGAAATAGCACCAGTAGCAGAACCACACGACACATTCCGGGACTTCCACAAAGTCCGACTCCTACAGTACAGGCGTCAACATAGCTCCGCTGGCGACGGGACAATATTTTGTTGGCTCATGGCGTTATTGATTTCCGAAGTTGTCTTTCACATCCGGCGCAACGGCAAGGACATTAGTTCGGCTTGACAACTTTCTCGTAGTTTAAAGGATAGAGTGACGCTCTGGCGCAAGTTACAACTATGAAAAACTCCTGTACGTAAGATTTTTGTTGGAACCATTAGAGTTAGGACAAGAGTAGAAAACTCGCCGGAGGTCGTGATTCGAAAATACGACTTGCTTTTTGCTGCTTCTCGATGCATCGATCGATTACCTCCCCCATGAAGATTGCTTGTTCCCTGTCACCAGATGAAAAAAAAGTAAAAGAACGCAAGCGCGACGGACGACGAAGTAGTAAGTCGCTCCGGTTCTTCTTGTATGTACCACAGAAGTTGTACTATTGTGGCGGTGTTCGCACAAGAACCACTCGGGCGACGGTTTCTAGGTTGCTTGGCAGGTTCGCGTGTAGTTTCTGCGCGCTCTTTATAGGACGACTGCATGCGTGGACAAATATCAAAAGAGTTTATGTAAGTCCAGGTGGAGAGGAACAAGAACAAGATCCACTACGAACAAGGGTACGAGGAGGTTTTTTCACGCCAATTTGTGGCCGGAGCGTCGGCTCAAGTCTTGCCGCTGTCGATGTCACGAGGAGGATCCTACTGAGGGGGCCTATAATGAAATGGTTGTTCCTTCCTACTTGCGAAGAGCAAACCGATCCTCTCGTGATACATTTTCTGATCCATTTTCAAGATAGTGTCGTTTTGAAGCAGGAGCAGCAGACAAGATCAGGCGGTTCTGAAAAATCGAATCTGAGTAATTGTAATTATTCCCTTGAAGGACGAGCCTCCCGGCGCCGGGAGATCAGATCTTCCCCTCTCGTGTGTCATGGCTTGCACGGGCTTTTGACATAGTTAGAGATCGCGACGCAATGGAAACGCAAAAAAAAATTTTCCGAGTTTCTCTGGCTCGGGAAGTAGAGCCTCATGTTTACAAAGCGAGTTAAAAGTTTAAAAAGAGCTTTTCTATAAATTATTGCCGCTCCAATGGATAAAACATCAACATCCACTTACCTCATCCTCTAGATGGCAAACACACGCCTGCTGGTGCGAAAATGAGCACGGTGGGAACCTCCAACTCTACCAGCGTGGGCGCAACTGCCGCGGCGCTCGCGTATGCAGTGCAAATAGGCCGCTGGGTCTGGAAGAGTGCAACTTGTGTCGCTGCCTTTGGATTCTGCATGCAGCAAGCGGAGTCCGGTTTTTCCTACGCGGAGGGGGCATTTCTCATGCGGTATAGGCATCAGGAAGCTCTCCCTGTCCCTCTCGCTAGGGCATACATCGCATGTGGTCATGATGCAAATGTTGTGCATTACAAGTCGTGCAATCTTCCAGACCCCGACACTTCTGCACTTGATATCGCGGGACTTTTTGCGACGACGAATCACGAGTCACTGGCACAAAGTACTGCATCACCTACGCAAGCCGCGCCCACCACACCTACCGGAGCTGTTATACTGCACCCTAACGAGGTGCAGCCCTCGCCCTCGTCTACCCCCCGTGACCACCATTTGACCCACGAGCCGCAGTTTTGGTTCTACCTAGCACTCGCGGTACTGTTACTCTTCCTCGCCGGGGCTTACTCTGGGCTTACCGTGGGCCTGCTCGGCATGGATCCAGCGCAATTGCAAGTATTAATCGCGAAGCAGGAGAGCCGAAACCTGGACGGTCCCATGGGAGGCGTATCGTAATGAAAAACCTCCCCTCCCCATATCGAAAAGAAAATTTGCGATGCTGATTTGGGAGCACAAATCGCATTGTATTGCTAGAAGGCCAAGAGACGCAGCTGCTCCCTCGTTTGCTGGCCATTTGTCTTGCTGTTTCCCTTTTCCAGTTGCTTTCTGTCATGCTGAAGACGCAAGGCTTTCCCACGCCAGCCAGCACTGCAATCCGCATCTCTTCCCTTCTAGCATGACAACGCGACTCGTGATCACAAATTATGCTACACAAGTCTCCCTTTGAGTAAGTATGTGGAGGGGGCATTTTTTCTTTTGATAAGGCGCGCCAGAAGTGGGCGATGATGAAGTATTAAGCAAACCGAAAGCTTCTGCAGCCACTGCCTCTTCGTCGGGGCAAGTCGTGCTAGCGGCGCATCACGGTAGCTTTTTACCGCTGTCTGCAACAGGGCCGCGGCGGCTCCGAGGTTTGTCGAGGAGGAGTGGACTACGCAGGAACTACAGCACACAGGTGAGCAACCGCATGGAAAACCGGCTATCGCAGTATTTGAAAAACCACCACAGACTACTGTCGACGCTCCTTTATCAACTGCAAATATGTTGTCTGGATCTGGAAACTTGTGATGCTGATGAATTGTCGTGGATGACTGATGAAATACTTCCCAATTATGCAGCTGCCAAGGATGACAAGTTTGCCGAGCACTCTCTCATGCGCAGTCCGCATGAGAAACTGCGGCTGCGCTTCTGTATGACAAAAGAGGCCGCCTTTTTGTTAGTCATGCAACACAGATGTAGTTACAGGAATGCAGGACTAGCATAATAAATATGCAAGTTCCATGCTTGTTCCAGACCCAGACATACATGCAATGCATATCCGCATCGGGAACACGATTTGCCTCGAGTCCCTCCCGTTGGTGTGGGACAAGATCTTGGACGACGAGTCGAGCCCGTTTTTTGCCATCCTGGTCTCGATTTTCGGCGTTTTGATTTTTAGCGAGATCATCCCGATGGCGTTTTTGACGGGCGATCACCGGTTGAGGTATATTACGAAGCTGGAGTTTCTGCTTTACTACAGCTACTACTACTTCTTCGCCCTGATCTATCAAACAAAAAAAGTTCGTCACGATCACGCGCGCGCATTTTTGTGAATGCAAAACTTTCTGTCATGCGTAAAAATGCATCACAGCCAAACGGCATAAGGAATATTCCTAGCGTTTCTGCAACACAAGGAAAAGTTGTGACGCAAAAAAAATTGCAATGCAAGGCCTGCAAGTTAGTGACTGCGGCGAGCTTTTTTCTCTCCATATAATCGCGGTCCCCATGGCCTATGTGCTGGACCTGTCGGTGGGAAAGCGGTATGCAGTGCAAAGGTAAGTACGATTCTCGTGGTACAACTAGTAGTGCATTACAAAAAATTCTTTCAAGAACAACAATGCCATTTGTCGTGCTGGATCAGGTAGAAAGTATAGATTTGTGATGCAAAATAAATCTTGCAAGTAGTACGAGTATCAGAGAACAGACTTTTGCACAGAATGAGAAGGAAACCGATTTGGAGGAGAAGTTTGGCGATGACGCAAGGCGGCTGACGACCCTGACGCTGCCCACTGAAAGTATAGGGGAAGCAATATCACAGCAAAAAGACGACACGGCAATCACGCCAGATCATGGCGTCCGAAGTGCAAGGAAGACAGGCACGATACTGCGAGGAAAAATCCGCCCTCCCCATATTGAACAGGTATGTTCCTGAAAATTTGTGATGCTGATTTGTGACGACAAATCCTGTCGCTCTTGCAAGAAGGCAAATCCAAAGCATCCGCCGCCTTATGGAGGCGATTTGTAATGCTGTTTCATCTTCAACTTCAGTGCCGGCCTCTGTTATGCTAAGCGCCTGCAACAGACCACCCCAACGCAGGCTGAGGCTTTGCCTGTGGTGCCTCATTGCAAGACAGGGATGATTTGTGTACACAAATCCAGCAACAGAAGTTTCCGTTTCAATATGGGGAGGGGGGATTTTTCACAGTGATACACGACCGTGATCGAGATGGAAGAGATTGGTGTAGTTGGCGCGTTATCCAATGCAAATATGTCTGGGTCTGGAAGAATGCAAGTTTGTCATGCTTGTCGCACATGACTCTTAGATCTGTAATGCTAATGTGTGAGCAGGAAAAGAGCCTCTTGCCTGTCATGCAAAAATGTAGTTTGTCATGCGGAAAGCGAAACACAAAGGAGCCCAGAAACTTGTCATGCGTGGCTGCCTATTGCAGTGTCCCCATATTAATAAATTCATAAATTAGCATCACAAGTTTCCAGACCCAGACACTTTTGCAGTTGATACGCGTATAATGATATCGGGGAGCCAGGCGGTGAAGCGCAAAAATATCCTGTGCGAAAGTATCCGGTACTCGTTGTAATCGCAACCCTGCATAACAACAAATCTCCATCCCAAGGTAAAACAGCATGACAAATTCCGTTTGTCATGCTTGGCAAATTTGTAATCCGCTTTCTGCTAGTGCGATGCTTTTGGTTTTGCAATGCATAAAAATTACTCCCACGGCACGGGGACGACCACAGGAGTTAAGCGGGAGCCGACGCCGGGACTGGGCCGCACGAGGTCGTCTTCCACACTGAGCTATGAACTGCAAAAGTAAGTACAACGATCGTACTAGTAGTAATTAGAATAACGACAAATTCGCGCAGCAATAGCAACGGAATTTGTCATGCCGATTTAGCTTGGAAAAAACGTTTGTCATGCATTGATGGCGATTTATTTTGCACACTTTTGCAATTTCCATATGAACCAGAGGGACTTGCTGACGCTGATCGAAATGATATCAAGTGCGAATATGCTCGGGTCAGGAAAAATGCGAGGTTTGTCATGCTAGGCTAGCAGGACTCTCAAGTCTGTCATGCGCGTTATCCAAAAACCCTATTTTTCTGTGATGCAGAGTCGCAGTTTGTCATGCAGAATAGGCAACACTTAGAAGCTCAGAATCTTGTCATGCTGAGCCATCATTTGTGGGCTCCTCATGCTACGTCACTCAGCATTACAAGTTTCCAGACCCAGACATATTTGCACAGGGTAAATGAACCTACCAAGCAACGAGGAGAAACTGGAGCTGGTTATCCTAAGCAAAAACGTCCCCACCCCATAGTCAAGTTGGGAATCTAGCAACGCAAATCTTCAAGTGTTGGGAGTTGTGCATGACAGGTTTCCCTCTGCAGTGTAGTGCTGGTCGGCAAGAAGGGAAGCCGCATGAGAAAGCCACTCTCTCATCCTGTTTACAGCATTACAAATTCCAAAACTCGACTGGAAATTATGCCTCTCATGGAGCTGCGCAGTACAAATCGATTCCTGTCATTGCGCATTTGCATGACAGCCGTGGGGTCGTGGGGACGTTTTTACTCAGGAGACCGGTGAGAGAGCTTTTTTTGCACCACCACGCGGACCTTTCTTTTTTGCGCACGACCTCCAGCAAGTACAGTCCTCACAAAGTAGATGAAAACTACCTTGAGCGGGGTAGAAGTAGTACTACAGCCGTGGAGCTGCAACCACGTGAAATAGAGCACCGCCAAAGTAGCAGCAGCAGCAGCGGCAATGCCGGGGGGGAGAGAACGAGAAGAATAAGAAGTACCAGCAGTAGTACCTCATCTACGCCGGGGCGGACGATGAGCAACTACCACGGGGCAAGAACCACGACTACTTCCGGCGCTCCTCTTGGTCACCAGCAAGCTAGTAGTACGACACTTCGTGGCGACGCAAGCCAGCAAGCGGTGGTTCCTACTTCCCCCGCACAATTCCCCACCGGCGTAGAAGTAGTTCCGGCGACGCTGACAGGAGCACCTCAGCTCTCTCCCTCTCGGACTGGTTTTGGAGAGAGGAGGCAGATATCAAATGTAAAAATGTCTGGGTCTGGAAGATTGCCAGGCTTGTCTTGCACATTTTGCATGACTTCTGACGTCTGTGATGCATGCCCTAGCATCACAGATTTTGTGAGGACTTCCTGATGCCTATACCGCATGACAAATGCTCTTTCCGTGTAGCAAAACTTGGACTCTCTTTGCTGCTCATGCAATACAGATTTTTTTAGAATCCAAAATCAGCATGACAAGTTGCATTCTTCCAGACCCAGACATTTTTACAGTTGATAGCAGATAGGAGTAGAACACGCGTCTTTGATCGGAAACCGGTACCATTGACGACAAACGACGTTGACCTAAAGCATAGCTTTTTGACATCTACCACTGCTCACGAGGACATTTTGATTTTCGACACTCGGGGTCTTGCACCAAAGATAAAGACTTAGATTATACCAAACGCCGCGCATTACTAAAATTAGGAAGAACTTATACAGGATGATGTAAAACCACTGCAGTACTTTTGAAAAGCAAAAATCCTTCTCCAAGAAATGCGGCGCTACTTCTTTCGGCGATTACCAGCACTCTGTGTTCCAAGAAATAGCCTGTTCTTCTTCTTTTGCTACAGCCTTCTGTGTTCCAAGAGGGAAAACGCAGTACGTCACTTGCCACTTCTTCGAGCCAGGCAGTGGAGATTAGATTGAAGCGGGTTGATTTTAAGGTATTCTTTTTCATACTTTATTACAATGAGGGTCGCGGGAGGGCAAAGCCAATTTTATTAAACACGAATGGTTCTACTTTGACCTTGAGTGAGAGCTGCAGCAGAAGCAGCAGCAACAGAGCTGAGAAGTGCTTGATATCACTTGCTAGTACCTCAAGGAGCATCGCAAAGATGATCATCAGCGCGGATAATTCATCTACGTTTCTCACCGGGCTTATGGGAGTGTCAGGATCGAACTCGAAGTCGACAAAGTTGAAATTATTTGTAATGCATGATAAAATCGATAGACAAATGGCACCTAAATCCAGTCTGTCATGCTGTTTGGGCGGCAAAGACGACATCTATCTTTTGCCATGCTATTTTAGCAGCTCAGTCTCTAACCAGAAAGAGGCCTCTAATCGCCCTCTTTTCCCTGCTGCTTTGCAAGTCAGGCAGTCTGTGCATTGTATTTTAAGCATCACAAATTTCATTTTCAGCTTCGTCGATTTCGATCCTGACACTTCCATAGGACTAAATCCCCCCACCACGACGACGAGCCGATCCTCGTCCCGCGCGATATAACAGTACACAACTCCCCCTCCTCCTCATTTGTATAGCATGAACGGCAAGAATAGTACAAGCATCAAGCAAGAATGCCGGTTTTGCATGACACATTTGCACTGGAGTATAGTGCTATTTGGGCTACCAGAACTTGTCATGCATGACATGCATAGTAGTGACAGGAGGGAAAGCGAAAGCGTGGAGTTGCAGTTGGTATTTTCCATGAGAAATGAGAACGAGGGGTAGTTGTGCACTGTCATACGCGACTACCTCCAAACAGTCCGGCATCGTCGACACTCCCCGGCTATCCTGTGCAAAAGTATCGCACTCGTATTGCAATCATGCATTAAAATTTTTTTTCTTGAGGTAGATCAGCATTACAAATTCAATTTCTCATGCCGAGGAATGCATTTATACGAGTACGATACTTTTGCACTGCATACCGGCGGCCGAGTGTGATGGAGAACTACACCCGAAACTTATCGAAAGGAAAAATCCCCCCTCCCCAGATCAAGACGGAATTTCTGATGCTGGATTTGTGTACACAAATCAGCTTTGTATTGCAGCAAGGCATTGCGGCCAGATCCCCAGGCTAGGTGGGGGCGTATGGGTCTAGTTGCTCAGCATTGCAAACGGCCCCCCTTTAGGCCCAGTAGCAGGACAAATCGCTTCCATAATGGGGCGGAAGCTTCTGCCCTTGTCTTCTTGCAAGACAGATGTGATTTGTGACCTGAAATCAGCAACGCAAATTTTCGGAAGCTTCCCTTTTCAATATGGGGAGGGGGAGCTTTTTCTTTCAATAAAACTCCCTGACCTACAAACTCGGGCGGCCGGACGGCCCCGAATTCTTTCTGAACCAGCGCGTGCAGGTCAAGGATGACTTGGACTTTTCCGCGAATGCAAAGTACGGTTTTGGTACGGTGAGGGGGTTCGCGACGAAGGATGATATTGCCACAGGAAGAACTCCACGCTCCGTAGGGACGAGCAAGCGCAAAAGACAAGTCCCGCTCGTGCAGCCTGACGGGTGGTCGCACGCGGTAGAGTTTAAGCACGTGTTGCCTTTGCTGCCCGCACAGATTCCCGTCAGAACCTCGCCGAGTGTCACGGGGGCGGATTTGGACCAACACTTGCAGGCGAAGCAGCTTGTTTACAAACATGCAGGCGGTCCTCGTGGCCTCAATATTCAGCTACCAATCGACGTAGCTACGTTGCAGCGGGAGAAAAGCAAGATCATTGAGCCACCGAATTCTGCACGGGTGAGCTTCGCAGATAGGATATCCTGTGTAAAAACGTCCCCAGCACCTCCCCATTGTCAAGTTGGTAAATCTGCAACACAAATCTCCAAGTTTTGGGAGTTACGCATGGCAAATTTGGGCTCGCAATGTAGTCGCCACGTGTAGCTAGTTCAGCAGCGTCGCAGATCCAGTGTGTCACGCTGCTTCGAGCATCAAAAATCTCCAAACACCATTAGAAAACGCCTCGCATGGGAGGTCTCCGCATGAGAAACATTTCAAGCATGCAGATATGGGCTCAGAGAAATTCATGTCTAGTACCATGTTCGAAAATTTAAATTTCGCAGTTTTCGAATAGCGCCAATGGCAAAACATTGCGCGCCTCCTTTGCTTGTGCAAGTTGCCCAGCCACGGAGCTGCTGCCAGAGTCGAACCGCTACAGTTCTGCAAGAAGTAGCGACGGCAGCGCCGGCGCCGCGCTTTTTATTTCGCACGTTAAGCGCTTCGGCCCTCTGGGTTATGACCTCACTCCTGGCATCCTGCTCTGTTGTGGTCGTCGCCCGGGCACAGGCCTGCCGCCCACGTTGGGGCCTTTGCCCGAAGAAAAAACTGGAGCAGTTGCACTGGTCGCCGGCTTGTGTTTCTCGGTCTTAGGTGTTTCGGCTCAGTTTGGTGGCTCTGCGTGTTTTCGGTTTTCGGCGGTTTTGTCGGCCATCGGGGGCCGCGATTTGGGGGCAGGGCATAGGGGTTCTGGCCGCCGGGAGCGTCTGTAGTTCGCCCCTCTGAGTGGCAGAGCGACACCTCTACAGACGGCAAGCATTCACGATCGGCACTGGCACTATGAAGATTGTGGCTAAGAA